ACCATAGCGGTTGACTATTGCGACACGGTGGCTTGCAAACCTGCAGTGGCTGGGAGTCTTGGAGAGGCGGCCGGCGGGACCGTAGACTTCAGCGTAGTAGAATCCCGCTTATAAGGACCCCCAAAGAGGGACCCCCTAATTATGGAACCTCCATATACCCAGAGAGACCAATACCCCGTAATTAAGGAATTTACCTTAAATGATTAGGGGCTTCATATTATGATTCGGGCTATATTCCTTAATTAAGGGCTATGGGGCTCTATGGCCGCCGTCTAGACTTTCCGCAGGAATGTAGGAACCTGATTAAGAAATCCTGGCCATATAACCCCCAAAATAGTAGAATCCACACGAGGAACCCGAATAAAGGCCAAAGGACCCCCTAACCGGGCTCCAGCATTATTATAGTACCCTTATAGGTCCCTTATAGTAATCCTTATAGATCCCTTTAAAGGAACCCTTAGGTTCCTACATGAATCCAGGTTCCTGCATTAGCCCTGCAGTCACAGGTTTCTCGACACTTCCTCTCTTGCGCGCAACGTCGACAGCAGCCCTGCTGTCCCTGACGAGGCCCACGTCGCAAGGTTGTTCTGATATTCCCTAAGGGTCCATGTACTCATATAGTATATACATTGGCCTTAAAGTACTCCCTCTATAGGTACATTGGGCCCAAAGTATATGTTATATGGGTACATGGACCCTCAGGGATTGGGTTCTAGTGACACTTCGAGGCGGACTAGCAAGTAAGGGTGCAATTACCTAGATTGGAGGCATATGCAATTGTAAGGAAAGTTAGCTTATTTGTAGCCCTTGTTGGAAAGTCCCATGATCCTTGTAGCAAAGGTTCAGTATCAGTGGATGCCCAACATGTTGAAGCGCTAGTCACTCTGACAAGCACGGTCCCAGAGAATAAACCACGTACACAACACACTTATACAAGTAGGGTTCAGGGCCTCGGATTCAGGGTTGAGGGTTTAAAGCGCATAGAACTCAGTGTCGGCACAAAGCAGACATGGCCAACCTAGATCCTAAAACTCTGAAACATCCGATTCCCTAAACCTACATAAGCCCTTAACCCTAAACCCCTAAACCCTACACCCTAAGACCCTAAACTCAACCAAGAGACCGTCGGCCCATTTCCCCAGAGCTTTGTGGACGTCGTCTTAACTTTACGCATTGTCGTTTCGGTTTTAGGGGCCCATGTTCAGTGGTAAATCGGGGTCGAAATAGCTTGAAGCACTTACCAACAGTGTTCCTTGGGTCCCGCATTATAGCTACAGAAGCCTATACCCCTAAAGCCTACCTGTAGCCGAAAAGACCTGCCTTTTTAGGGTTCCATGTAACGTTCTGTATACACAGTTCCTGGAAAGGGTAGGTCTTTTGGGCCACAAACCAAAGCGTAACCCTAGCTATTGAAGTCCCCGTAGTTTGTGCCCGGGACTACGCAGGGCAAGGCTTAAGGTTTCGATTTGGGTTTGGGTTTCACGGTTTTCGGGTTAAGGTTCAGGGTTTAGAGTTTAACTAGGATGCCCAGTAGTACCCTTATTCCCTTTTTGTAGTCCTAGGTTCCTTATACAGTTACCCAATACCAAAAAGGGAGCGAGCCCCTTTTTATTCCTAGGTTACTGGGCATTCTAGTTAAAGGGTTTGAGGTCTAGGGTTAGCATATACACACATTCACCTGGGGTCATCGCTCGTTTATCAGAGGAGGCCAAAAGGGGTTTTATATAGCCTATGGGGGCTTAGTAGGGATTATGTAGGGTTCCCATAATAGGGTTCATATTAAGGACTCCCCACCCCAAGAATCTTAAACCCCCCTTTTGGCCTCTCATCAGCTTATTGGCCTGTTGGGACAGGAGACGTTGGGTTGTTTGATTCAGTGCTCGTCGGGGTGTCTAGCAGTCAAACAACTTAAGCATTAAGCGACCAAATTTTAGAAGTTAGACACTATAGAACCCAAGTAGAGTAGAGATTCTATACGCATACTCGGAGTCTGGGTGACGCCATGCCTGCACATAAAAATCCTAAACACCAAAGCCTCAACCCGAAATCCTCAACCCTAAACCCCAGAAGACGAAGTGTCTCCCAAGCTGGCCAGGCTAAGAAAGCTTTCCGGCTCTTCGCCGATGATCTGCAGGTTCCGATTTGGGACGTTTGGTGGTTTCTTACTTGAAGGTTCATGGGTAGTTATCAGTGGGGTTATAGGTCCCTTTATACGGGTTGTAAGTATAGTCACCTAGGGGTTTATGGGTTTAGGGTTTAGGGGTTTGGGGTTTTGGGTTTGGGGTTTAGGGTTTGGGGGTTAGGGTTTAATTAGGGTTCAGACAGGCTCAAGAAGACCTTTGGTCCCTCCCTCACTTAGACTAGCGTCTCGTATTCAGGTTTTAGATCTTAGTGATAATCTTTGCTGGGTTAAACCCTAAATCCTACACCCTAAGTCCTAAACTCTGAATCCTAAATCCCAACCCCGAAACCCCTGAACCTTTCGGGGATCAGTTTTCAGGGTTTAGGGCTCCAACCTGGGGTGCAAAACCACGCGCTGCAGCCCCGGACTCACCGCGTGCACATACCCTGTCGAACCTCCCTGGGCCAAGGATTAAAGCTTAAAGCATTAGTTATAGACCTTACACCCTACACCCTAAACCCATGAACAAGAACCCCCAAACACTAAATCCCTGAAGCCCTCAAGCCCTAGAAGCCTGAAGCCGAAACCAACCGCCAGCCAGATCGTGGCGCATCGGCTTTCTTTGTGGGGGCGGATAGTCACCCGATTGGCTGTGGAGGCTCCTGCTGTAGAGCCTGCAAATTTCGTGAGGGTTTGTAAGGTTTGCCCAGCAAAATTAGAATTAAGGGTTTAATTAGGGATGCAGGGGTAACATTGCCTATAACCTAGATCCTAACAGTAAGGCTCTTAGAGAAGCGGTCGTTATTGCTCACGGGTCGACATTGGCGTGTTCACGCTAGGAGCTCAGACATATCTACAGTCGGCTACTGTTCCTCAGAACTTCGTAAACTCGTACTGCCCAGAACCTAATTAGAAACCTGCACTTATAGGTGAATGGGCTCTTAGAGTCAAGTCAGCTTGGAAGGGTTCGCATTTAGCACAGCCTCCCAGCTCTTCATCAGGAGAATCTGGCAAGGAAGCATGTGGTCATCCTTCTGCCAGACTAAACCCGTTCCGATTGTGCCACATTGGGAACCTTGTGCCATGTAAGGCGACAGTTTGGACTCTGCAAGGGCCTGGATGGTGCAGTAGTCGGCCAGTTATGAGCGCTCGCAACAAGACCACCAGTGGGACCAGATTCTATGGGCTTATGATCCGTACATGTAAAAAAGGGGAGTCGTCTGGGCACCACAGATGCAAGATCTTCTCAATGCTCGTTACCTGAACCTTCCCAGTTTGATTCGACCATCGTCTACCGAACGCCTTGTTCAGAGTGACGGGGTACCAGAAAGTGTATGCTGCAATTTCTCTGAAAGTGGTACCTACCCTAGAGCAGGGGCAAGGTATGACTGTTTGGGTAAATTCGGAGCCCTAGAGCCTAAACCCTACATCCTAAACCCTACACCCTGAACCCCCTGAACTCCCCCGATGCTGAAACGCATGCAGGCCCACGTGGCCTCTCACGAGGTCTTGCAGAGTGATCTGCAGAGGCATCCAGGGACAGAGGGGTCTGGGGTTATAGGAGTCGGGGGCTTTGGGGATTCTGAACCCAGACCCCCGAAAGGATACAAAAAGTAGATCCCTTAATGAGGGTTCCGTTAAAAGTGCCCTTAGTAGTATAGGGCGCCGAATTAGGGGATCTGCTTTCTAGATCCTTCCCGGGGTCTGGGAAGTATAGGTTTTCACCATCATTTCCAGGAGCTGCTTATCATATTGCACTTTAGTGGTTTGTGTTTAACAAATTGCGGGCTTATTTCTGGTTCCCGAAACTCTACCTTGATTCTGAAATGCATGCATTCTTGGAGTTCCTTGTTTTAGTTTCCTGGTTGCTCAAGTCACGTTTTTGAGGGTCAAAGCAGGGACGAAATTCGGTGGGGTTACTTGAAGGTTCATGGGTAGTTATAAGTATATAGGGTAACTATACACTTCTAACTAGGGGACTTATAACTCCACTTCAACCCATGAACCTCCAAGTACCCCAGACAAAGGCCCTTAAAGCAGGGTCCTTAAACCCTAAACCCTAAACCCTAAACCCTAAACCCTAAACCCTAAACCCTAAACCCTAAACCCTAAACCCTAAACCCTAAACCCTAATCCTACCAACTTTTCAGGCCACCGGTTGAAGCTGAAAAGGCTTAGGGTATGCTCTTAGCAGAGCCCCAGCTGTCAACCAAAGAAGTGTGGGGTTCGGAAAGTGCACGGTTTGAGGGTTTCTGTGTTTTCTTCAGGGTTTAGGGGTTAAGGCTTAGGGTTCGATCTGGAGGGAAATCAATTGAATTTCCCGTCTATGTGTGGGTCTAGCAGTTGGAGAGATTGGAGGGTTTGGGGCTCAGAGGCGGACGCCGTGAATACTCACAGCCAACGGGACCCGAAATTTAGTGCATATTTTCCGAGCCCGAAAATCAAAGCCACGTTTGCACACTGCCTGAAGCGTCCAGACCTAAGCCTAAAACCCTGCATCACTAAAGCTCTAAGCCTTCATGCAACCCATATTACCCAAGTACAAAGCGTCCCGAAGCTGTTGCCCCGAGTTTGAGTTTGCTTGATGCTGGATGAGTTACGCGCTTGTCAGTGCTCGTCTGAGAGGGTTTACGGTGTAGGGCTTCTGGTGGTATGGGCTATACTTTCTCAGCCGCAACGCCGAAGCTGACTGCAGCTCAAGCTCGGGCTCAGAGGTAGCCTAACGCCACTTCTTTGCTTGCATACTCAGCAGATGCCGACTCCGCTTGGTCCTTGGGACCCGGCCGGTGGTGCTTCATCCTGGAGCCGGCACCGGGAATCGGCTTTTGCCATAGACCCTCGTGCTTCGTATGGCTCAGTTTACGCGGCTTTGTCTGAAATGACGGAGCTCTGCACGGTAAAGACCAGCGAGGTCTTTGATGCCAGCTCTGCAGCAATCGCCTTCTTTTTTCCCCCCTCTCTCGCTCCGCCCCCTCCGCCCCGGCGCCCACGTTCCGCTCCATATTGGGACCTTTCCGAAGCTGTACCACAAGAGCGGGCCGAGCACAATTCCTCAATGCGCTGGACCAACCGGTGCGGTGAGAAGCCAGTGGTAGCCGATGTCTTGCACAAGGCGTCCACAGTCCCCACTCCTGAAGATCCGAGCCCGTGGCGCGAGGAACCAGATGCCACCTGGGCGGGTGATGCTCCCAGAGAAGCACTCGACGAGATGTCGGAGGCACCAATGGGGGAGCCTACTGCAAACTTCGCGATCTATGGATCGATACCTGGCATTCCAGAGTCCTTCACTCTGTCCGAGTTCCTCGAGAAGGAGCCACCTTTTTCGCCGGCCTCTACACTATCCTACAGCCGACAAGTGCCTGTCTCGCCCGCCTCGACTGTCTACTGCTATGACAGACAGGTGCCTGTCTCACCTGCATCGACTACCTTACTCTACGGCACAGGGTACAACAGCGGCCATCAGGAACCACCTTCCCCTGCTTCCACTGTCCCGGCTTTCGAGGCTCTGCAGCCCGAGTACGACGGCGGAAAGGCGCGGGCAGAAGATTTCGGGTCTTGGGTTTTCAGGTTTAGGTAGGGTTTTTGTTTTGTTAGCCCCAAGTTCCCAGTTGAAATGCCCATGAAGCCTGCATGACGTGTGCAGCCTGAGCGTTTCGACTTCCGCTCGTCGGGCACAGCACCTGTTGAGGACAATCCTGGCTATATGCCGGCTCATCCAACTTGGCGGCACTTCTCCCAAAGCCGCAGCCGAAATGAAATCAGCAGAAACCGTGGTGAAGACTGTTCGTCTGTTTGGTGCGGACTCTTTAATAGCTGTTGCTCCGGCTCCGACTCAGCGCCAGAAACTACGTATTCTTGTAGTACGACTTTGCCTTTGATAATCTTGCGGTTACATAATAGGATAAGTACTTGTGTGTATTTTCCCTAAAGCCCAAAACCTTAAACCCTAAACCCTTCAACCCGACCTAGACCCCCCAACTACCCTTTATTGTAGCCCCAAATTACCTCCTAATGAGAAATATCAGAGCCCTGTAAAATCCACTTGGGGGGTCCTGGGAAACCCCAAACCCTAAACCCAGGAGTCCTGCAGCCGCTGCCAGCACGCGCTCGGATCTTCCTTCGATTATCGCTGCCCGAAGATTGGCCAATGTTAACATAGGGGCCTTAATAACTAGATGAGGGTTCCTTTAAGGGGTACCATAAGGCTATAAGCGATTTAGGGATATAGCGGCCTTAACAGTTAGGTGGGCTTGGGAGGTATATTGTACTATAATTCGGTAAAAGAACCGTGAAGCTTGGCCAATGTTACCCTAGGGCTCCAGTTGACTAAATATGGGGTTATTCGGCTACATTAGACCTGGTTAGTAATCTACTACCCTAAACCCTAAACACCTAAACCGCATCTGCGTGGAGCGAGTGTGCGAGTCGCAACCCCTACACCCCTAAACCCTAATCCCTTATTCCCGAATCAGAAAATCTCTAAACCCAAATAACCCCCTAAACCCTAAACCCTAATCCCTTATAGCCGAGTCAGAAAATCCCTCAACCCCTATAAACTACGGTTGATGATATAAATCCTGCATGACCCATAATAAGGAATATACCATAATTCCCATGTATTCCTTATTATGGGTAATGCATGACCCATAATAAGGAATATACCATAATTCCCATGTATTCCTTATTATGGGTAATGCATGACCCATAATAAGGAATATACCATAATTCCCATGTATTCCTTATTATGGGTAATGCATGACCCATAATAAGGAATATACCATAATTCCCATGTATTCCTTATTATGGGTAATGCATGACCCATAATAAGGAATATACCATAATTCCCATGTATTCCTTATTATGGGTAATGCATGACCCATAATAAGGAATATACCATAATTCCCATGTATTCCTTATTATGGGTAATGCATGACCCATAATAAGGAATATACCATAATTCCCATGTATTCCTTATTATGGGTAATGCATGACCCATAATAAGGAATATACCATAATTCCCATGTATTCCTTATTATGGGTAATGCATGACCCATAATATAAGGAATATACCATAATTCCCATGTATTCCTTATTATGGGTCATGCAGGATTTATATCATCAACCGTCTCAACCCTAAGTTTCCTTTTTGTGGTGGGTTTCCGAAGCGTCTAAACGGGAGCCCGTCACAAGCTTCCTGTTTCCTTTCCCTGGAAAAAGGGACTCAGGAACTGCTCCAAAGCTGTCTGTGTGGAGTGCTTTGAGAATCTCAGTGGCGAGACTTTGCGATGCACCTGCGAAGGTGAAGCAGCAAATGGCGCAATGAGTGACTGCAAGTTGTGGATGCTCGGGGCGTGGAAGTCCGCCGTGGATGCGTTTGATGTCATCTACACAAATCTTGCCGGTGCAACTGAAACCCCAGCAATGCCGCAGGCCTGGACGAGAAAAGAGACACCTTCACCCACGCAGCCGCAAACACTATCATTGCCATCTATGTTGGGCCATCGACGTCGTGTCTCTCAAGCCACAGACGTGCACAAGACCTACTTGCCAGGGGAGATGCCCTGCAGCCCAGAAGTCCGATGATGAAAAGTTGCAGCCCAGAGGTCCGATGATGGGAACGTGCAGGAGTCAAAAAGTGGCAGCACGCAGGAGTTCCTACCGTACGAGCTCAGTCAGGCGGAGGTGTGTTCTGTCTGCTAGTCCCCTTTTACGTTAAAATTTGAGCAAGTGAAGAGCATCAAGAGCTAGCTCGGGCTGTCGTTTTAGGTGCTGCTGCTTGAAGTGCTACCTCGCAAACGATTACCCAAATCTCCCTAAGGGCCCATGTACCCAAATAGTATACACATTGGCCCTAATGTACCTATACAGGGACTACTTTAAGGCCAATTTATATACTATTTAGGTACATGGACCCTTGGGGTCTTGCTATGTGCCAACACAAGGCAATGGAGGAAGCATCGCAGCAACGAGAAGAGTACACCTTCACAAAAAACCCTTATGAAGCCTTACAGAGACTTTACTGGGCTCTCATAGATCCTTTAAAGAAAGCTCAAACAAGACCTCCCGAGCCTGGGATCAGCTCACAGAGGCACGCCGAGAAGATCGCGGCGTCCACCTTGCGGCCGCCTATTGTAGTTGTGGGTCTTCCGCCGCACTCTCAGCGGCTCAGGGAAAGGATCTTTCTTTATCGAATTAGGTCCCAAAAGACTCATCCCTGGTATGATTTGGGGACCTAATTCTATAATGGTAGTATGCATGTGTGCATATATATGTATATATATATATACATGCATGTATGTATGTATGTACGTATGTATGTACATATGTACGGATTTATGTATTTGGTTGCAGCCAGACCGGCTTTCGATGTTGTGTGCGCCCCGAACCCAAGTAATGTAGGGGTCTGAACAGTTACTGTAATGCCTCCAGAAACTAAGGGACCCAAAGAGCACAGAAGCATAAGCATTTTATAGGGATATCCCTACCTTATTGGGCTTCATATAACGGGGTTTATATGGGATAGATATCCCTATCCTAATATTTGCTTATGTGCTTTTTGGGGCCCGAGAAACCCATTCTAATCTTCACTGCCCGGTGCTTTTTGGACCCATCGTCTTCGTGCTGATATTGTTGACAGAAAGCATTGCAAGGGGCACACCCGTGGTAATTAGACATGTTTTTGCATGGTGTATACTCCCATGAACTTCGGAATGTTTTATTACATAATCAGGTCTTGAACCGCAAATTGAGCTTTCGTTTCGGTCGGGCCAAGCAACAAAGCTGTCGCTCTTGCAGGGCCACTCGTCGCACCAACCCCGAAACTCGGCAAATCAAGCCATAGCAACCCTCCTACCTTCACCAAAATAAGCAAAACAAAGCCTTAAACCCACAAAACCTAAGTCTCAAAACCCCAGAAACCTTGCCAAACTCAGGAGAACGGGAACGACGCTTCTTCACCATCTGCTCGAGATGGCCTCAGATCAGGAAGCTTGTAAACTGGACGCCAAGTGTCAGGGCTTCAGGTTCGTCGAAGGTTTGTTTTGAAGGTGTTCCCTAAGGGTTTTATCGGTTTCGGAAAATTCTGGTCACAGTAAAGGTTTAGGGTGTCGGGCTTTCGGGTTTCGGGTTGTTGGGGCCAAGGTTTCGTTTGTAGGGTGTGGTGACGCAAGGTGCAAAGTTTTAGAGTTGGAGGTTTTTCTTTGCCGGTTCGAGTTTCGGGCCGAATTGATGTTGCTGTGATTCGCGTCCATACCGTTGCTGGCAAGGTGGCCGCTATTCGTGAAAATACCGCGTTGAGCCTGCATTAGCCTGTATTCCAAGCCGTGAAGCTACCCAAACCTTGAACACCACACGCTAATGGTCTTGAGCTACATCGGCCTGAAGTGGTCCGCCAGGAATGTCATGAGAACCCTATATACTTCCCTATCTGGGTTGTATGTAAACGCTAGGCTGTTTGGAGCATCGGGGTTATAATCCCTAAAGAAACCCTTCAATCCTATTATATATGTAAATCCTATAACCCCGAAACGCTAAGCTGTAGCTCCCAGGCCCAGGAGAATTAGTAGCTGTATTCCCCGAGTCCCTTTGTATTTTTTCTAGCTCAAGTCACCATTTCTCGCTTTTCTGGCCGCTACACCCGAAACCCGAAACCGTCAACCCTGCACTACATTAGACTGTATACTATGCTGTACGACACAAAACTATGCCGTGCTATACTGTTCTACACTATGCTATACGATGGACCATATTACCATATTACTATATACGATGTACAATATTTTATATACCATATACTACATACTCCATAGTGTATGATTTAGTTTTCTGTATACTTTTCCTATATACTATGTACTATGTACTATATACTATATGTTATATACTATATACCATGTACTATATTCTATATCGCATATACTATTTAGTATTTATTCTGCTACACTATACTATATATCAGCTCTAAGGCCCTGGATCCCGACTCCCAGTGTCTTCGTGCCTTCGAGCTTATGCGGCCCGTTCGGTCGGGGACCAATTTGGGCCTTAGGGGGGGGGTGAGGGTTTTGGGCTTCAGGGCTTAGGGTCTGATGTTTTAGGATTTTAGGGCTTGTAGGGCTTTTTAGGGCTTCTAGGGCTTATAGGGCTTTAGGGGTTTTCAGGGCTTCAGGGTTTCAGGGTTGAGGGTTTTAGGGTATTTATTTGGGTGCTCAGGGTTGACATTTGGGGTTTTAGTATAAGGACTGCGCACGAAGCCTTGGTTGAGGAAGATTCGGTAAGTTATGAGAGGAACCGTAATATGATTAGGGCATATTCCTTAATCAAGGGTCTTGGGAGTGTCTGGGAATGAAACATTTATGGCGTCTGGGGATTCTTGGTAGGAGTTCATACTCGTCATACAGGCTTGACGCAGTTTTGTCGATGTGGTGCTAGCTCCCCAAAGAGCCCAGTACCCCTTAATTAGGGAATATACCTTAAATCATTAGGGGTTTCTTCATATTATCATTTAAGCTATATTCTTTAATTAAGAGATATTGGGCGCTCTGGGTCTTGGGGCTTGATAGAGGATCTCAGACAGGTCTTCTGTGCGTTCCTGATACGTCTACCGATTTCTACTTCGGTATGTGATCTCTGCTAAGACGCTTCGGCAAGATTCGGTTTATGGAGAGATTCCGAGTTTTCCGGGAGACCGGGAATCTCCGGTTGTGTCTTTCAGAGATAAGTTCCGTCGTCTACCCTGAAAGCAACTTGCATACGGAACGAATGTCGCCATGAGAACTACGGCAACAGCTCCTCGGCAACCTTGCCGCTGCCGAAAGTTTGCCTACCTCCTCTGGGCCTCAGCCTCGCTTCGACCCGAAAGTCCGGCCTTCGGCAGCGCTGGCAGCATTCCACACCGCGAGCCTCGCCTCGTCCCCAAACAACCGCAAGCGCCTGTCCCTAAGGGTCCATGTACCCATATAGCATATACTTTGGGCCCAATGTACCTACATAGGGAGGACTTTAAGGCCAATGTATATACTGTATGAGTACATGGACCCTTAGGGTCTGGCATACAATGGATTCGGCTCCTGCCACGATTTGCTGCGATGGCCATGCTTCTTGACAGTTGGATTGCCGTGTTCTGCCGTTGGGCTTTCACTGATCGCAGCTTTTTCTTAATAGCAGCTTGCTGAATTAGCGTATGCTAATTCTGGCATTTATGATTCCTGCCTTGCACATTTGATGACAGTGGGAATAATGCACACGGAGATGCCACCCAGAGCCCCAAGCACGAGGCCAGCGGTAATAATACAAGCAATGGAAAACACGTGAAGTTGGGTTTGGCGTCAGGAATGCAGTTGAATTCTGCTCACAGTGCGTTCACCTGCACACCACAAAGGACTCACACCTACAGTGTAATTATGTTGGAAAGCCTCGTCCTTAAGGCACAAACCGGAGCCTGGAAGCCAAAAGACGATATACCCTTAAGCCCTAGAGTTAGTGTCCTAGAGTCCTACAGCCTTACAACACCCAAACCCTGAACTTTGAACCCTGAAATCCCCGACATCACAAGATCCGTTGCCTGAAGCCTCTGCCCTCAAGCTCGCATGCGGAAGCTTCTCCTTCGGGGCTCAAGGTCTGTAGGATCGAGAGCGGAAGCTTGATTTCTGGGAGTCGGGTACCGCAGACATTGGGGCGAAAGCTTACACTCAACAATTGCTATGCTGACCCTTTCGACCTTGGCCCCCAAAGTTTGTAAGCCGGCGGGCCGGATGCTCCCACCCGGAAGCAAATGACACTCAGACCCCAGAATTTTCAGCCCACAGTTGTCGAACCCGAAACCTCGGTAATCCCGAAATCTCATAAACCCAAAGCTCGCGACTCCTTGCCTTTGGATTGGGTCATATACTGTTCCTAAACGCTACATCAACTACACCTTGTACCCAGCATAGCCTATGCAACCTTTTTCGAACCTGTAGACAAGCCTTGCAACCCTATCACCCTACCAGATACCAAGAAGCCTACAAACACCGTACAGTTTAGGCTGTAGGGTTTAGGGCCATAGATAGCCCTAAACCCAGTACCTGAGCCACAAAGCTTTCAGCAAACCATACTAAACCATATAGAACCCCTAATAAGCCTCGTAGCACTTGGAACTCTGCCCCTTGCGGGCCTTTTGTAGTTAACTGGCTTCTTGGACCCTAGAAACGTTGGAAAACCCCGTAGCACCTTACAGAACCTCAAGAAAGCCTATTATTATTACACTAAAGCCTATAAGCCCTAAACCCTGTAAACCCTATATGCAACTGGGCTCTTAGAGGGCCATGCCTTGGATCGCATGGCACGACAGCCTGGTGGGCGTCAGCTGTCCAGCCCCATGCCATAGTTTGAGGGTTTTGGACATGGATATGCGAGATGAGGTATACTGGTTTAGGGTGTGGCTTGGGGTTTAGGATTTAGGATATGGGGTTTGGTGGTTTGGGGTGGTTTGGGGTTTAGGGTTTTTGGTCTATGGTTGGCACTGTTGCTGCCTCTTTTGTTGTAACTCGTCGTAGTACCTCTTTAGGGTTCCTTATTCTGATTTTTATCGAGTTCCTTGCAGAGGCGCT